GCAATATGAATGGGCAATAAGCAGAACGGTATAAGTGACATTTTATAAAGCCTGAAAAAAACGTGTTTAAATTAGACTGTATATTAGTGCCGATGGATTTTCATAGATTCAATAAACAATCGGAATGCCGTGGTTTTAATGATGACCCAAAGCATCACGATTTTAAAGTGATAAGGATTTAAACAAAACAAAATTCTCAGAACTTATAAAATGTCACTTATACCGTTCGGGTTTTCACCATTTCATATACTGCTAAATACGTCGCGACTACTCAATGGTTTGATCGGCCACCGGATGAACCTGGAATCGCGTGCCACCACCCGTGATAGTGTCAAGCGATTACATGGAACAGATTGGCTAGAATTTGAGAAAGCCCTCGGTGAACATATGCGACTACAGCCGACAACAGGGAGCAAAAGTTTACTTTTCACAAGCAGACGCGAGACACATCCGAAGATGGTTGAGCCCATGATGGAGACACATGAGTGACTTATGGCGCCAGCCGCTATCTGGCGTCAGCCACTAAGTTTCAGGGAACAGTTGGCGTCGTCATATTAGGGGGAATTTTAAAAGTAGCCAGATACCAAAATCATTACCTGGGTGATCTGGGCTGTCCGGGTGGCGCCGCGTCGAAGGCTGAGTTGCCGACGTTTCGACAATCCTGTCGTGGTCTTTCTCAGGGCTGGTATGCTCAGGCTTGGCATACCAGCCCTGAGGAAGACCACGACAGGATGGTCGAAACGTCGGCAACTCAGCCTTCGACGCGGCGTCACCCGGACCGCCCAGATCACCCACATGACTCTGGTCGCGGAAGCCTACGACTTCAAAATTATTACCTTGTTACAAGTCATTGAACGAGATATATAAAGTATTTCTTTTAAATATTGCATCTTGTATACCTTCATCATGTTATTTTTTGTTTGTCACCGTTGAAATTTGGCACTTTATGCTACTTTTGAAAAATTTCTCTACACTTCTCGCTCTCCATGCAACATGGCGGCCAGCGTCTGGTCTGGCTTTTCAAATGAAGTGCTCCTGCTGTGGTCACGTGGTTCGTAGTGCAAAATGGCGTCGCGTAGAACGATCAAAATTCGGTGGGCCGACGTTGCACGGCCCGGGTGACCCTGAGTCCCCAACCTGTTTCCTCACCCCACTCTTCTTACATCTAACGACGTGAGTAATAACGAACATTTGAGCACCCACGTGAAAGATTTCAACTCCCCCCCCCCCCATAATTTATACATGTGGGACCACAAGTCTACAACCGCAATACCCTCCCCCTCCCTCTAACACAGAGAACCTACGTTTCTGGTGTCAAAGTCGGTCGGGTATTGGATGTTCGGGAGAACCCGCGCCTTTGCCACGTTTTCCAACATTTCGGTCATCACATTACGAGTATTTTACCCTAGAGGAGGCGGCAAGATAACTACCAAAACGTTGGCAACAATGCCTAAGACCCGTATAGCCAGTAAACTGCAGTCATTTATTTTCCAGCAGGAACGCGCCATGGCAACGCGACTGTCTATGCTGAATGACGTTTTGGATGGTGGCGTGGGCGGGGCTGCCAGCGCTCTGGGGGCCGCGGCGCGGGCTGCAGCGGGGGTGGCGCTGCCCGACGTGCGCTGCTTCGCTGTCTTCACCGGAGACCACCAGAGCGCTCTACTGCTGCCGCATCTACTCCGCTCAGGTTTGTGTACTAAACGCGCATTTTTTGACATCAATTCGAATTTCCTCCACCCCTTTATCGTCATTGGTCGAATTAATACTAAAATATAGCAACAAGTGTTGTTGACAAAATCTGATAAGCAGAAATGTTTGCTTCCTGTAACTCAAACTATTTTGTATTGAAATACAAACTAAATATTTGACACCATAGTCCTGCTGTCGAAATAACCAAAATCACACTTCTCTCGTATCTAGCGAAATGAGGTCTGGAGGAAACATGCGCGGGTTAATCGTTGCCTGGAAAGCAACTGCATCCGGGGCACATGCTCAAAATCGATGCGTGAAGGAAGACATGATAAGCAGTCTACCCAATTTCTTGCCCGGAGGCGTCTCAGTTTTCAGTTTTGCCAACGAATTTTTTTCAAATTCATATTTTTAATAAATGTTAAGTATTTTTGTAAGTGATTACTGCAAGCATAGTATCTCTATTTGTAGTAAATAACACAGCAAGATAACGAAAGCTTTATTAGTCTAAGCGTTATTAACCTTTTAGTTATGAACGGGAATAAAGTTTGCCAGTGCTTCAACTTCAATAGTAGAACCGAACTATTACTTTAAGAATATTAAAGAAGAGTAAACCCTCGTCCTGTATGGCAATTGTCATTAAAGAATTTGGAGCGGTTTTTAAGAAAATGGTGTTTAAGCATTACTGTAAATGCGAAGTTTGTACCTAGTTTCTCAAAAAACTATTGAGTTTTAGAAAAAGTTCATATGAAGCCATTTAAAGCACTTTTAGTGACAAATGCAACAGTATTTACAAATTGCTGTAAATTTGAGCATTAAGCGTGTGAGAGGTATTTAAAAATATATATTTGTGTAATTAAAAAAAAGAATACAGCAAAATGAATTCTAATTCATCTTAAACTGTGCAAAAAGCGATTTTCGTTGAAAAGTTTAAAAAAATTATTTGGAGCCAATTTTGCAAAAATGGCGTTTGAGTGTTTCTGAAAATGCGGACTTTTGAACTCATTTTAACAGAATACCGTTGAGTTTTTGAGAAACTTTATGTGACATTATTAAAAGCACATAATTAATGAATGTTTTTCAAAATCGTAGAACTTTAACTCAAGCCAAATTGGCACGAGTTTATTCAGTTTGGAAAAAATCGTAGGCCTAGTTTAGGTGCTAGTGTTGTTCACATACACCAGTCGGACAGACGGACGTTTCGCCGTCATTCGATTTTTCACTAAGGAGGACACACAAAATATCGATTCTGGCAATTTCATGTGTTAGATATTTTTTTCTTAATTTAACAACTGGAATTATTCTTTTTTTTCGTTATCGGTGCACGAGAATTATATTTTTTTGCCAAAAATCCTCCGTGTTTTTGCGCACTATTACTTTACTTTCTAAATACTACGTATACTACTCCATATATCCGTATGTATATGGGACAGTAAAAAACACTTTTTATACGAGAAAGTAAAAATGAAAAACTCCTGTTTTGTGATGCTGCTATCTGTGCACGCGATTTTGTCACGCTACGCCAACGCATATGTCTATGACAATATTGAGCTGTGACGTTAGCGACGGCAATACATTAATATTCAAAGACCAAAACAGAGTTGCAATACAGGATTATCATAGTATCATGGAAACTTCTTTTACCCCAAACCACTTGCGTTAGAGAGAAAGTCAATACAATTTTAGATGTTAAAAATTGTTACCAAAAGATTGAAGTTTTGAAAATGACTGTCCTTATTGATCGCTTTGCTACTCCAATGCTTTTTGTCCGGAAATGACAACGTTGCAAGATGATTCGGAGAGACGTCTTCGCTATAATCCAGACTCGCCCGACGAGCCAGACCTAGAAGATTGCGACCGACCGTGAAAATGACAGAGTCGCTTCCAAATACCTCACTTTTATGTTCTCTCCGTGGGCTACCCACTGTGATGCACCACCACTGTGAAACCAGGACTTATTTATAGTTTCCAGACAAGTTAACTGCTATGGTCATTAGTCTCGTTAGTATAAAAAAATTATCCGGCGAGGTGACGACGATTCCTTTCCCAATTGATCGGATCCAGCGCCGACCTACATGTTGGCTTGCGGGAGATTTTCCGCTCCAGATCTCTCCGTTACCGGGGCACCGCCTCAGTCGACAGAAGCTCTAAGCTCCCCACCTGTCATCAGATGTGTGGTAGTGTCGTGCATGTAAGTGTAAGTAAAGTATAAGGAAGAAGAAGGAAAGATCGCGCGCCGTCTGTGGCCCGTTTGTTAGGGTACTGCTCCAGCATTCACCTGGTACTGATCGGACAAAACACGGAAAACTACCCATCAGAGCAGTCGGCCGCTAGAATGCTCCCTCAGAGACGGGCTGATTTCGATTTAGCTGTACTACGAGTGCCAAAAATGTCCTCCATAGTCCGACACTATGACCTCCCGGTCATCGTTGCTGGCCATTCAGAGGCAACGCTGGCTCTGCACCTAACCGTGAGATCATTATTACAGCTGAGAATAGGAGAGTGTGTTTGTTCCGGAAAGAGGTTGAGAGATTGAACTGAAAATCCAGTAAACGAAATTAGCAGAACTGAGATAGTTTTTGTCGACTTCCCTGATCAATGAATAAACCCTCATTACTAGCTATACATCTGCAAAATGAGTTTTGTCAGTTTTATTTCCAGCATAGTGGCTTGTTTATTCAGCACGCTTATTGGTTATGAGACGTTCGGTTAAACAATGGTGACTAACATTTTATATTTTGCAATTCGAAACCGCTGTTGTACACGTCACGAGATGCAGTATCCATACCTTATCAAAATTGCCATTTGTCTTTTCCTTACGAAACTACAAGATACGTAGTTTCTTTTGGTCTGTTTAAAAAACAATATAATCAAATTAATTCTCCATATTGATAGTACCATTTTTTAAACACGGTTCATTCCAATGGTCAATTATTTGGACAGGCACCACAGTCTAACGTTGCCAAAAAAACTTGGGCTGTCGCACCAAGTACAGACAGGCAGATAAAGTATTGTTTCGATCCCCACCCGCGGTAGATATTTACATATCGACTTAGATATCTCAGGCAACAACTCCACTTCACGTGCCAACCCTGCACATACCACTCTGGAGTCGAGTCGAGAGCATTATTCGTTTCGTCTGAGGCGGTGCCTGGAGAGAGGGTTCCTCCAAGGAGCGTATAGGTCAGCTCTGGATCTCACGTTCTAGCGGAGAACGAACACTACCCCTCACAGGACATAACAGGTCAAATGACTACAGCGGTTGAACAAAACAGTCAATCGACTGATTCTCCAAATGTTCGCTCGTAGCGCTGCTGGCGGTGGTGGTGCGCGGCGCGCCGTCGCCCGCCTGTCCGGGGCTGCTGCTGGTGGCGCGGGACGCCCAGGAGCTGCGTGACGTCATGACCTCCGCGGCGCCACCTGCCAACGCCACACGCCCTCGCCACAACTCTTCGCTCAGTCTGCTCCGCCGCGACATCCCGCCCGCGCCCGCGCCCGTGCTCGCCGTGCTGGCCCACGAGCCGCACCCCGAGAGCTGCCAGGTCTCTTCACTTCTTCCTCTGTGTTCGCACGAGACACAGAGGAGTTACGCTAAACACTGTTTTACACGATCATTTTTTCATCATTTTTCGCCAGTACAGAAAAGAGACTGACCAGACTGGATGTAATTTGTACGAACAAATTACGCATGCTTCCTTTTTCAGTACAGATTTCATCCAGTTTACTACCGCGTTCCTGGTATCACTTTTCGGAACTTTCTCTAGTTTATCATGCGTGTGGTGAGATTTGTTAATTTTGAAGTTTCGCGAGCGTTCTGATGTGTTGAATTGTAATGTGATGTGATTATGTAGGGAAAAATGAATCATGTACTGTGTTCTAATGTCATCGCGTTCTCTGTTCAGTCCAAATATAACCTTACTTAATTTGTTACCATAGATGTGATGTTCAAATGTTTGATCTTCAGCGCTTTTTGTGGCGTCCAGAGAAAGTATTTTCATCACGATTACGTACAAACACCAGAAATGATCATGTCAAACGCTGGAATGACTATCATCCAGTTTCGGCACCGAAACAAAACGCGTAGAAACGAACGACCTTTTTCCATCCACTATCTGCCCAGAAAAATGATGAAAAAAGGATGCAAAAATGACCGTGTAGAACAGGCTTAAGACAGGACCACTTTGATAGGTAGGGAAACAAATAAACGAGGAGTAGGGCGATGCCATGCAAGAGATAGTGATGAAACCATTTAAAATGAGCTAGCTTTAACCAACGCTTAGATGAATTGAGTGTAAGGACATAACCTGCTGTTATGTTGCCAACAGTAGCCAAGGAGTAGTTGTGAAAGCGGTCCCTTCTTAATGTCTGAATATCTGCGCACTCTACTACCGTTAAAGTGGAGCGGGTGACAGGCCCAATCTTCCGTCTGACCACGCAAATTTCGGTACGCTCCTTTCCCCCACTAGCAGAGAAAAGAGGTATTTCTTGGGCGAGTAACAGGCGATTTGAATTTAGCCCAGAGGCGTCATTTACGCTTGAGGATCTTTTACATGAATGAAAATCTACTAACATGGGGCAGCCGGATTTTCTTCCCCTCCGAAGGAAGGAGTACGAAGGATTTTCTAGCCATTAAAATCCACGGCTTCGATCGTGTTATACGCCAACTTGGGAATAACAGTCCGATAAGCTAACCGTTACACCATCACCACCGCCACCTCCCGCGATAAAAACTAGCACCGCACTTATGGGATTATTGACCATAGCAGTCGAAGCGCCCGGGATCAATAATCAATCACTGAATGCGGCAGGTGCCGGCTGAGCGCGGGCGCTCGGAGCTGTGGTTGCGCGCGGCGCCGCTGACGGCGCTGGTGGCGGCGCCAGGGCCTCGCGCGCTTTGCGCCGACGCGGCTTCCGGCCGCTGGGAGGCGCTGGCGCGCGCCCCCGAGCTGCTGGCGGAGACGCGGGCGCGCATGCGCAGATGGCCCGACCTGCGCGGGAGGGCGCTCGTCGTCCCGGCCTCCTACATCCCCCCGTTCACCTACAACGGTCAGTGTGTGCCAGGCGCTGGCAACGCCCGTTGGAACTGAGGATTAAACTTCCGCGTGCAAGGACTGGGACGTTGTTCTCGTAGGGCTCGTTGCACACGAGCGTTGCGTCAACGCGCGTTAAGTAACGCACGTCATATAATACCACTGTATCTTCGGCGAAATGGCACACGAGCGCTTTGGTCGTTCCGGAGAAAATGTAGTCTACGACGCGCGTTACTTATCGTGCGCAAACGCAACGCTCTTGTGACACAGGCCTTAGAATAATGTTTGCAAACCAATGTTATGTAAAATTCCTGGCAAACAATTTTCAGCGCTACTTCCCGTATTACCGGGATTTTCACGAAAAAATACCCGAATAAATAAACCTAAGGAAAACTATGCAGGAAGTCGTATTGGCAGTATACAATTGCTTCAGAACGTTTTACCACTGTAATATTTTTGAAATCTCCAAAAAAATTAGGAATGTAAAAACACAGAAGAAAGAAAATTAGCTGTTATATTACCCCTGTTAATGTTTTCCCCACCTCTCAAAACAGTTTTCTTTATAATTCCCTTGGAATTTGCTCGAAATATTTGAATACAATGGTCATTTCCCCACCCGATTGAGGCACATCTAATGACACATCTTGCCCCAAACGATAGACCGGAAGAATTCTAACCGACAGACAATCATACACATACAGAGACATAGGCTAACTGTTATTTGTATGTAGATTTGCGATTTCAACACCCATGCCAACCATATGACCCCTGTCTCTCGCCAACACGCTTGCGTGTAGACATGTTCACAAATTGCCTCCTTAATTGTCTCCCCAGCCACTCCTCCAAGATCGCAGGTCATTACATACTCGAGGCAAATTAATTCGCTAATCCATACTGGCATTTTTGACTTCCATGCAAAAGAATCTTAACAATTTCTCTCCCTCTAAACCAATGCTTGCCAAGTCAATATTCTGAGACGTCACAAAAACTGATCTCCTGCTCCTGGCCGAGCAAAGGCAGCGCCCCACGTGGCACCGAGCGTACATATGGTGATGGTACAGATGTGGGGGGAAAAGGTTCGCTGAATAATTACGTTATTGAATGGTATTTATTATTTAAACGTTAATTATTCAATAAAAATATTATTTAAAAAATAGAACGTTGATAATTGCATAACCGCAATTGCATAATTGCAAATCAATATCCGACTCTATGTAGCCAATAATTCACTTCCATTCTCCAAACGTATAATATTATTGGACATGTTTCTCTATTTCGGTGAACGCGCTGTATCTGAATCTGAAGTCAGAATGGTGCCACCACCCTCCATTTTTTTAAAGCGCAAAAACCCTCGTGAAATTGTATTTTTTGTTTTTGGAGGTTGTTGTCAGACCGAAAGGTGCATGTTGATGCACTGAATCTGAATCCAAATCTCAAATTGCTCCACCGCTCTCTACTTTTTTAAATTGCGAAAATCTCATGGAAATAGTAGATTGGCGACTAGATTGATGTCTTTTAATATTTACTCATTTACGTCAAAAACAGTTAAAAACTGTGTGTGACGTGCTTTGGGGAGAAGTTAATTTGAAGTTACATCCAAAGCAAGAATTACGCCACCACCCGCCAGTTGTTTTTTTTTTAAATTGCGAATTCCACTTTGAAATTGTAAATTGAAAATTTCGCTGTATTTTTTCGTAATTAAACAAAAATTGGAAGGTGGTGGCACAACTCTGGCTTCGGATTCGGATACAGCGCGAACATACATAAAGAAATACATAAAGAAATATGTGTCAAGACTTTGTTCTGAAAACTTTTGGCTTCTGTAGATTATAATGCTATTTTGATTTAAAAAAACAACTGGAGGGTGGTGGCGTAATTCTGGCTTCGGTTTCAGCGTCTCGATATACATATAGAAACGTGTCACGTTTTTGGGTCTGACAACTTCTTTCGTTTTGTGTGCTGTGTATTGTATGTTAACATATATATATATATATATATATATATAGATAGATAGATAGATATATAGATATAGATATCTGGGAGTAGTTGAGTGGGAGAATTTGTACTCCAGGTTTGATTATTCATGTACAGTTTTGTTTCACAATGTTGTACATCCTCGTGGTTTTTAGCAACTTTTCCATAACCTTCTATCTGCAAAATCCTTTTTGCACCTCATAATTGCAGGATATCTGTAAATTCTCAGAAATTATTTCCATCTCGCGGGTTTCTCTGGGTTGCAAATCTGCGTAATACCTCCGTCGGTTGAACTTTTTAACATACTGTAGCTCTTTCAAACTCCTTAAACACTTCACCATTGTTACGTGTCTAGAAAAAAGAAATGATTCTTCCCAAATTGAAAGAAAATTAACGGCCGTAGATGGGCTTTCATGTTGCTTTGAATCATAGGCAAAGGCCCACTGCCATTGCCACTGCCAAGGTTTTCGACACCGGCGACTTCCGTCTACCCCCTTTGCTCACGCTGATTTTCTTATCATCTGCGGAGAGGAGAATTCGTCCAACGTCATCTCTCCGTCAGTTGGCAAACGCTCTAACCTTTCTCAGCTATCCGCTGATGCCGCTGCTCGTTGCAAGGTTCTGTGGTCGAGAATATTATGTGACTTGTTAATTGTTGCAGACTTGCCCATCTACGTAGTAGTATCCCATTTCATAGGTTTGTAATGATCAAAAAGCAACGGCATTTGCAGGCTTGTTGCGTCATCTCGTAGGTTGTGCACTTCCTGGAAGGGTGAAGTTTATTTCCCTACATCTAGGGAGCTGAAGTCTCTAAACGTCTAGCACTGATATACTGATGGACTATTAAGTTCAAATTGTCGGACAATCTGTATCACCAATGACATTTATACATTTGACCATATATATCCATATCTATGGACAGATACTTTTAATAGTTTTCTGAACATGTTAAGATACGAGTGACCGTGAGCAATGCTCGCGAAAGGGCATGAAAGTGCGAAAAAAATAAGATCCCTCACACACTTGTCGAGAACCTACTGTGTTCATCACAAAGTCCGCATACACTTTGAGGCCAAAAGTTTCCGGACACTTCCAGAATGGTGTTATGGTGTGGATGGCGTTTTTTCATGAAGGATGCTTGCATCCCTTGCCATGTGTGGCAGCATCATGACTAATACCTACGTTGATATTTTAAACACATTCTTGCTTCCCACTGTTGAAGAGTTATTCAGGGATGGGGATTGCATCTTTCAACACGATCGAGCACCTGTTCATACTGCATGGCCTGTGGCGGATGGTTACCCGACAATAACAGCCTTGTAATGAACTGGCCTGCACAGAGCCCTGACGGTCCTACATCGATACCTCTCCTCAGGGCTTTCAGCACCTGATTGAAAGTATGCCAGCGAGAGTACAAGGCTAAGGGTGAGCCAACACCCTACTGGATTCCAGTATTTCCGAGGGCGCCAAGGCCTAGTAAGCCATTTTCAGCCACTGCCCGGATACTTTTGATCACACAGTGTAGATCGAACAGGATTTAAATCCAGAAACGCAATGATGAAAGGGGAATTATTTGACCATTACACCATGGATTGCCCTAATGGCTCCAATGTAAAGAGTTTGCTCTTCTCTTCCCCCTCCTGTTCCCATTGGATAGTGCGCTGAACTACTCTGTCTACCGCAATATAGCATTCACTACCTATCCCAACTCTTGGGAACATTTACAATACCAGGCAGACCGCCATGAGCTTCATAAGTGTCCCAATTATCTTTAATGAAGTAAATGAAGTAAAAATGTAAGAGGGTCGCAATCCCAAAATCCAAATACGCACAATAAATTAAACATTAAAGCGCGGGGGAGTGCGCGGTGACTCGAAAACTGTTTCTGATTCTGTGTTAATGCGCTTTGCTTGCTCTGCCGCAGATACGCGCGATGGGCTTGAGGACCGCTTCGTGCGCACCCTGGCGGAAGTGCTGGGGACGACGCTGACGCCAGTGGCTCTCATCCCCACCAAGTACGGTTACCAATGGGACGCCATCATGGAAATGCTGCAAGAGGGCGTAGGCGATGTCAGCGTGGCCGCCTTCCCCGCCATCCAAGACGTGAGTCAAAAGGCCCTAGGGCCAAACAGCCATCTCTCTCTCCCGCCCTCTCTCTCTCTCCCGCCCCCTCTCTCTCCCGCCCCCCTCTCTCTCTCCCCCCCGCTCTCTTCTCTCTCCCCTATTCCCGTCCTAACCCTCTCTCCCGCCCCTTCTCTCCCGCTCCTCTCTCCGCCTCTCATCCCACCTTACCTCTCTCTCTCCCGCCTGCCCTCTCGCCCTCTCTCCTCCGTCCTTCCTCCTCCTCACTCTTCCTCTCTCTTGCGCCTCGGCCACGCCCTCTCTCTCTCGCCGTAAGGCCACTCTTCTCCTTCCTCCTCCCTCCGCCCTCCGAACATTCTCTCTCTACCGCGCCCTCTCTCTCCCGCTCCTCTCTCTCTGCCCGCCCGTCTCTCTCTCCCGCCCCTCGTCTCGTCTTGCGCCGTCGCTCTCTCTCCCCCCCTCTCTCTCCCGCCCCTCCTCTCTTCCCCTCTCCATCTCCCTGCCCTCTCTTCTCCTCCCTCTCTGCTTTCCCTCTCTCTGCTCCCGCGCCTCTTCTTTCTCCCCTCCCTGTTTCCCTCGCCTTACTCTCTTTCTCTCCCGCCGCTCTCTCTTCTCTCCCCTCCCCGCCCTTCTCTCTATTCTCTTCCCGCCCTCTCGTCTTTCTCTCCCGCCCTCTCTCTTTCTCTCCCGCCCTCTCTCTTTCTCTCCCGCCCTCTCTCTTTCTCTCCCGCCCTCTCTCCCCCTCCTCCCCCCTCGATTGGTATGCTATTTGCTATTAGCCTCGATTTCATTTTAATAGCCAGCGCCGTTTTTGAAATGGCTTAACAACGTTTCGTGAAGTAATGGAACTTAAGCAACTCGACAGACCATTAATTTCTGAACGGCTGATCGTCTGAAAACCCTGGTTACTAAGCGAATCCAAGCAGCGAGTCTATGGTCAAAGGAATAAAGGGCATTGGCTGCCTGATAAGAGGCAAATGATTTGACTTTACTTGACGAAGAATGATATCAGATGTATATGGTCGGTGCCCAACAAGGGCTAAGAGCCGTGTTGCCGAAAAATATGCTACAAATACACACAAAAATATATTTACAAAAGAAGATATAAAATAATCGTATTAGAACAAACGATACGTTCTATTGACTCACCTAGTAGAAGGCCACCATGAACTTCTGATCAGTCGTTCATTTGTTTTTCTTTCCTTACTTATTCCGTGGTGCGCAGGTGCAGAGGCAGGTGGAGCTGGGCTACCCGTGGGGCGCTGGCTGCTTGACGATGCTGGCGCCGCGGCCGCAGCCTTCGTACGGTGACGCGGCGGCGCTGCTGCGACCGCTGGCGCCGGCGGTGTGGTTGGCGCTGCTGGCGCTGCTGGCGGCGGCCGGCGCGGCGCTGGAGGCGGCGGCGCGCGCCCCGCCCCGCGGCCACGCCCCGCACCGCGCGCCAGCGCCTTCGCCATCGCTGGCCAAGCGGATACTCGCTGGTCAGTGCACCGCCACTATTGTTACTACAGCCCGGAAGTTTGGCAAAATATTTTTTTGTTATTGTTAAGCCTTTCAGAGTTTTGGCAATAAGAATAATTTACAGGTAAAACTGGAGTTCTGTTAGATTTTCATTTTGCACGTTTTGTCCATCTTAGCAACTAAAACCGATTTTTAGCTTTTTCTTCCTTTTCTGCCATTATTTTGCTTTTTCATTTTCGTCCTATACTGTAGTAGAGAACTTAAATACAGGAGATTATAAACAAATACAAAAAACACAAAAACAAACAAACGAACTCAAACAAATACCAGAAACAAACACAAACGTAAACCCAAACAAACACAAACACACATAAAAAAAATCAAAGACAAACAGAAACAAACACAAACTAACAAACAAACAAATACACACAAACACAAACAAACAAACGCAAACACAAACTAACAAACTCACATAAACAAAGACAAACACAAACTAACAAACACACATAAACAAAGACAAACATACGCAAACAAATACACACAAACACTAACAAACAAACGCAAACACAAACTAACAAACACACATAAACAGACAAACACACATAAACAAACACACATAAAGACAAACAAACAAACACAAGCAAACAAAAACATACACAAACCAACAAGCAAATCTTGCCCCAATTACACCCTCCAATCGCCGTCATTTCGCGCGCTGCGCCTTTCAAAGGCGGCGGGCAGCGCGTTCACGCGTGGCTGCGGCGGCGGCCGTGCCGCCTTCCCCGTCCCGTGCGCGGCGAGCGCAGCGGGCGCAGCGGGCATCTGGAGGCGCTGGGCGCGCTGCTGGCCGCCGCCAACCCGCCCCCCTTCCCGGCGCCGCGCCCCATCCCGCGCCGCGCGCTGCTGCTGCTGTGCAACGTGGCCGGCATCGTGCTGGTGACGGCGTACAACAGCGGGCTGTTGGCGCACCTCACCGCGCCGCGCTTCCCGCCGCCCGTCGACTCGTTCGCGCACTTCCTGGCCGCCGGCCTGCACTGGGGCACCACCGTCCCCATCCCCAAGGGCTTCTACAACCACGAGGTGAGAGCGTGCTTGCGAAGCTGGCAAACTGCAGGTCTAAACCCAATTACTCTGCCTCATCCCTTTGAGCGCGAGGGGAGTGATCTCCCTGGAACCGTGGAGCTGGAAGGTCAGACTCTGATAATCCACCATTTATGCCCATCCCGTTCGAGAAGACAACGTATCTCACGGTTGAAGAACCTTTCTGGTATGGACACTAAATATCTAGATTCTTATGTCCTTAGGTATATTGAAAGAGATTTACTTCACGACAAAGAGAGTGACTAATTCTTGGGGGCTGGAGGAGACGTTGCTCGTCAATTACCAAATCTAATAGCGACATTGCCGAATCCAAAGTGCGTCTTTAACCGCAATATAAGAGAAATATCTTCATCCACGGGGTTTTATACTTAATTAAAAAGGACTTGTTCTATTTATATACATTTTTCTACTCTCATTTAATAGTTATCTTATTAGATCATTGTAGCTCGTTGCATAATTTTAGTCATATTGTAAAGAGTCAAGATGACATGAATATTTAATATCAAGAAGAAGTTTATGTGTACGTCCTGCTTGGGATTGGAGTTCAGGTTGAGAAGGCCGGACGCTATTGAGACAGGCAACAAGCTTAAATGTTAAGTTCACTAGTGGTGATACCGAATGTCAAAGAATTTTTCGTCTTAGTTTTCTATTTTCTATGGTCTAGGCTAGCTATTCGTACTTTCCACATACTCTTGCCAGCTACCATCTACCGCTGCCAAGTGTATATTTGACGTGAAACAAGAGAATAGAGAAATATGGTGTTTACGTCATATCATGGAGAACATTTAGCACCATCCGTACCAAAAGTTTAAAGAAACAAATTGGAGCGGTTTTTGAGAAAATCTTGTTTTTGGTATTTTTAAATTTTCATGTATTATAACCACTATATTGCGTTTACGAGATGAAACTTTGATAAAAATTCAGTTTGCCTTCTCAACTTTGAAAGTTGTCCGCTTCATTGCATTGTAAAATCAGGAATGTCTTCTGCGAAAACTTACAAATTATCGAGAAGAAATGAGTCTTCACTTCTGCGTGCGTCCTGCTTGAAGAACGTGTTCTGGGATAAATGCGTACAGCGGAAGAACATAACGAAAACCCCATTGAAAAGCTCGAAAGATGTAAAGATCTTATGATATACTTAAATTCAAATAATCTTATTATTTGAATTGAAATACATTCATTCAAATGAAATATAAAACTTATTACAAATGTGAATTCAGAAGAACCTTACACGTAATCACATAATTCACGTACTTTGACGCAAAGAAACTCAGTGCATTTAGGCATGTACGTAAATACGTTGTTAAATATCAATCCAATGAGAAACATTTTTCCATAGAGCTTTTTTCATATATTCACTTCTTTTTCAACTTCTCTTCAAATTTGATGTCTGTATGTTACTTTGTATCTTCCAATCCGACTTAATATCTGGTGGAATACGGACTTGCTTCAAGCTGTTTTTTTTATTCTCTCGTGAACGAGAATTACAACACGACCTGCTCCTACACAAAGAAACGGGACGAGGCAGGCAGCGAATCCGGCGACAGCATTGTGGGAGCGACACTGAAAGAGCCATCAACGTTCGACCTTGGCAGCTGACCCCGACCAGCGAGATGACTTAGAAATGATTTCGACGTGGGATAGTCCACTGAATAAACATGTTTTCCACAACGAACCGTTTCAGGTGGTATTCCTGTTTAATACCTCGCATAAATTCAGCTACGACTTGTTTCAAAACTATAGTAAACCTGTATTTCCGTTGAAATCACGAAATCGATATTTGCCGCATTACATAACTTTTTTCTATATTACGTATACGTGTAAGATAATTTCTATATTATGTATACGTATAAGAGAAGCAAAAATCATTAAAAATAACATACCACTAATGTGGCCTGACTGATCGTATGTAGAAATTCATTGCAAACAGCCAGTAACCCGTTCATCGTATAAGGTTTGGGAAGAAGGGGAGATACGCCCATGGCACAAAATAGATAATACACCGAATGGAAACTTCCCTGAATTCCGAACGCCAGTTTGTTGGGTCCGACGTACTGAAATCAAGTAAGTTGCTGGTCCAATGTCACGTTCGACTCCCGGTCCCTACGTGGCATTCGCTGGCCGACACATGTGTCCTCCTGTGCTCTGATTGTAGGACATGTTTTATTTTGCATCATGCGTTTGTTCGCGAATTTTGTTTTTAGTGCGATGTTTTATTATTTAAACTAATTAAATTCTACTAATAATTTATGTTCCCAGGTTAATATTACGTTTATTACAATTTTGTTTAATATTGTTATTTCAAACATTACATTGATTGTAACAAACGTGGTACCTTACCTTGGTAGGCAGAAGTGCAGGCCCTATGGCCTGAGCTTCTCCATTAATAAAGGTATTATTATTATTATTATTATTATTATTATTATTATTATTATTATTATTATTATTATTATTATGGGTGCTTCACCGTGTGCATTTCGGCAGCGGCCGGTGAAGGTGGCCCTATTAGAGCGCTACGAGCGGGTGGCGGACGCTGTAGGGAGAAGGTGCTTCACCGTGTGCATTTCGGCAGCGGCCGGTGAAGATGGACCTGTTAGAGCGCTACGAGCGGGTGGCGGACGCTGTAGGGAGAGGGTGCTTCACCGTGTGCATTTCGGCAGCGGCCGGTGAAGATGGCCCTGTTAGAGCGCTACGAGCGGGTGGCGGACGCTGTAGGGAGAGGGTGCTTCACCATGCGCGTTTTCGCAGCGGCCGGTGGAGGTGGCGCTGAAGGAGCGCTACGAACGGGTAGCGGACGCTGTAGGGAGAGGGTGCTTCATCGTGTGCGTTCCCGCAGCGTCCGGTGGAGGGGGCCCTGAAAGAGCGCTACGACCGGGTGGAAGACTGTGTAGGGAGACGGTGCTTCACCGTGTGCGTTTCCGCAGCGTCCGGTGGAGGTGGCGCTGAAAGATCGCTACGAGCGGATGGTGGACGCCGAGGAGCTGAGCGCGCGCGTGCGCAGGGGCCTGTTCGCGGCGCCGGGCCTCGAGGTGGGCGGCGTCTTCTGCCCCGTGGGCGCCCCGCCCGCGCGCCACCTGCTGCCGCGGCTGCGCGTCATGCGCGAGTGCCTGCGCACCGACATGTACGCGCTCGTCTACCCCAAGGTACTGCGCCGACAATGTGCAATTAAACGAACCCTTTAACAGGTATTCACGCTAATAAAAAGTAAATGCTGGCTGATGTGATTTCGGCAGATCAATAGATCGAAATAAAAATCATCGTTAGACAATTGACAACATACATACGAAATACTATATTTTTATAAGAAGCTAGTAGGCCTGTAAATGCTTCGCCCTTGCCATATATTAAACTTCTTCAATGGTACTGGTCACGTGGACGATGACGTTTTACGCTACGCTCTGCAAATATTGAATAAATGAAAGGTTTTCTTACAAGTATGTGTTTGTTCTACATCCTAGTTTGAAAATGTCAAATATCGTATTATTGAAACGCTCTCCCTGAAATTCAGCCCTGCATTCGCTGGCATAGACTTGGAGATGTTTTATTTATTTGTCCGAGAGAATGTTTAAGTAATAATTCCGGCCGATATTTCACAACCATAGGGGCAGAATATGCAGAGAAGACGGCTTAATACTTGGTTGTGCGACAGGTTGCATAGAGCTTCTGCTGAGGGAGTTCAAGTCAGCATAAATCGAACAATACTAGTTGGATGTATAATCAAATAATTAGTTTATTCGTAGATAAAAAATCAGCCCGTAAAACCATGTTTCACTCATTCCGGTGTAAAAAAAAACTTTCGCCGTCCTCCAGTTTACTTAGTTTCCCCATACGCGTTGACATTGACCTTCACGGTGCATTAACAATGACTCTCGCCATTGTGTGTTCGTCTTTGAAGAGGCGCAATAGTAAGTCGCTTGGTCACGGGCAACGGAAGGCAATTCGATCACGGTTCACTAGGCCGCGAAAAGCATGTGGTTGTGCAAAACTACAGTTTTCATGCATTTCTTATGCAAGATACCGCTGCAATGCTATGCTGCACTTTAAACAAATAATACGATTCTCACACTAGAATGCGGCCTTTGTGCAGAATATTGTCTTGCAAATATTCAACCGAGGAAACAGGATGTTCTTATACTTGGTGTCGGCAGGTGAGCTGCAAAGTGTGGCGTAAACATTTCGAGAATTTAACATCGTAAGAAAAATGTCTGACATAAAAATATATTATTTTGGAGGAAAATCCTTCACCCAGCACTAAAACTATTCTGCCTCATTTTCTCATCTTCTCATTTTCTCATCAATATAAAATTAGCTTTGTTTTACAGCGCAATCAATGGCAAATCTCATAAAAGTTTGACATCTATTTGTCGAGATAGTTCGTAATCTCAAGTTAAATGGACTACTCTATGCTTTCAACTGGATATCTTTTCAATTAAGCCAGCGTTATGTTATTGGTGATTGGGGGGGGTGGCAATTGCAGAACTGGAAATGGGAACGCTGAGAGTCACGAACGAGAAGGAGCAAATTCTTGAAGTGAAAGGCTTTAAGAAAATGGAGGTCGTAAGAGGAAGAGAGCGAGAGCTGGAGCGTAGAGTTGGTTTTGGCTGGAATAATTCCCCGCTGATGGGAGATAGCTGGTTGGGAAAAATCCCTTTAGCCGACTTGCAGTTCGGTGTCTGATCTTACCATCTAGCAGGGGACAGACACATGGTCTCATAGCCACCTCTTGGACAAAACACCGCAGTACACTTACGGGAATGATAAACTTAGCAGGTCACGCACCAATAATCACTAATTAATCAATCAATCGGCAATGGTTATGTAATATTTTACCGCATTTCTGTTTATATCGACACATCTCAGTCGATGAGCGCTGACATCAATGTGCGCATGTAGGGACGTGCGCTGCCAACAATGGGCACACCTTTTCTTATCAATTCTTCCTAGAAGCGCCATTTTTTGCCATAACTGGAACTGTTTTTCAGTTTGCATTGTTGTTCTCCGGCTACCCCCCTCCTGTCGTTGACGTGCGCAGGGGTCCGCGCTGCGCGCGTGGGGCGACCGCGTGGTGTGGCTGCTGCGCGAGGCGGGGCTGGACGGGCACTGGCTGCGCGAGGCGCTGCGCCTGCGCGTGGACCCGGCGCTGCTGCAGATGGCGCGCGTCTCAGCCCCGCACGGCCGCGCGTCGCCTTCCACCGACGCCGCGCCTCAGAAGCTGACGCGCGCCGCCCTCGCGCCCGCCTTCGGGCTGCTCGCCGCAGGGCTGGCCGCCGCCGCCGCGGCCGCCGTCGCCGAGCGCCTCGTCGCAAGATGCGCTCGGACGCGCGCGCGCCTGTGGCGAGATCGCTGAGAGTGCGCCGGAGCTGTTGATGACGAATTGTAGGGTACGGGAGATGTTGAAAGATGTACAAGCTAGGACCAATACTCAACTCGTACGCTGATCAACAGGCTGTGGACTCTCCCCAGCAACTGTTGCTGTTGCTAATAATCTCGCAGGAAGACAGATAGACGCGCGCGCTCCTGTGGCGAGATCGCTAACGCGACACGGCTGGGCTGAGACTGCCCCGCAGCTATTGCTGCCGAACTCTAGGGTACGGGAGATATTGCGAAATGGACAAGCTAGGACTAATACTGGACTCGCACGCTGATCAACAGGCTGTGGACTCTCCCCAGCAACTGTTGCCGTTGATAATATTCTCGCAGGAAGACAGATAGACACGCGGAGGTTGCTTCCGATATGTAGGGTACGGAATATTGCAAGATGGACAAGCTAGGACTGAACACGCACTCTGATCAACAGGCTATGGACTCACCCCAGCAACTGTTGCTGTTGCTGGTAAACCGCAGGCGTACAGACAGAGATTCGCGCGCGCCTGTGGCGAGATTGTTGACGCGACGCGACCTCGCTATGAGAGCACCTGAACTCCTGTTGATGTTCCTTGTGAGCCTTTGGGAGCGGGAAGATATTCCAGGAGTTGGAGAAGCTAGGACATACTGGACACGTACGCTGATGAACAGGCTGTGGACTCGCCCAGCTCCTGTTGATAATACTTATAAATCGCAGGCAGACAGAGAGACAGACGCGCGCACGTCTCTGGCGAGATTGCTGATGCACCACCACCATGCTGACACCACCGAGCTGCTAGTGCGTCTCAGCTGTAGCTGTTGAGCCATAGGGAGAAGGAAGAGAATCCACGAGATGGAGAAGCTGAGAGTAATACTGGACACGTACGCTGATCAACAGGCTTTGGACTCCCCCAGCTGCTGTTGATGTTGCTTATAAACCGCAGGCGCACAGACAGACAGACGCGCGTGCCCCTGTGGCGATATTGTTGACGCGACACGACCGCGCTGCGAGTGCGCCTGGCCTGTTGTTGTGGCTGAACCGTAGGACACGCGAGATGTTGAGAGATGGAGAAGATACGACTTATTCTGGACCCGAACGATGGTTAATATCCTGAGAGCGTGTCCACACTAACATTTTTGGTCCCAACTCTACAGTTTTCATCCCTGTTTCTTCTTCTGACTGATAAATCCTGATCCGCCCCAGCAACAACAGTGTTTTTGTATTTCACCCCAAAGAAGGCAACAATTTATTGGAAGAAACACACATCGTGGCTTCTTCCAGAGAGATGTTTAGAAAGAGAATTGTTAAAGTAAAGTACGAGAATAATAAATAGAGATAAATAATTGATTTTTTGATATTTTATATTTTTCCATTTCTTTTATTGTTCAATTTTAAATATTCAAACCTGCGTTACATTTACACTACGTGATCAAACGTATCCGGATACGTGACTGAAATTGACTTACCGGTTCGTGGCTCGGTAATGATGGAACTCAATAGGGTGTTTGCCCACCCTTAGCCTTGATGACAGCTTCCACTCTCGCTGGCATACTTTCAATCAGGTGTTGGAAGTTTTCTTGGGGAATGGCAGCCCAGTCTTCACGGAGTGCCGTGCTGAGGAGAGGGATCGATGTAGGGTGGAGAGGCCTTGCACCAAGTCGGCGCTCCAAAACATCCCAAAGATGTTCAGTAGGATTCAAGTCTGGACTCTGTGCAGGCCAGTATATTACAGGGATGTTATTATTGTGTAAACACTCCGCCACAGGCCGTGTAGTATGAACAGGTGCTCGATCGTGTTAAAAGGTGGAATCGTCATCCTCGAATGGCGACAGTGGGAAGCAAGAAGGTGTTTAAAATATAAACGTAATCAAGTGCCGTGATAGTGACACATAAAACAACAAGGTGTGCAATAAAACACGACCACATCATAACGCTATTTTTGACGTGTCTGGATACTTTTGATCACATAGTGTATATGCATATTTTGCACTTTTCGAAAAAATGATTAAACTAGTGATGCTAAAACACCACATGCTTTCTCGCCCCTTAGTAAAGGTTATGTAATAATATTATACCTCATTTCTATCTATATCAACACATCCAAGGTGATGAGCGCTGACAACAAAGGGCGCATGTAGGGATGGGCGCTGCCAACAATGAGCACATATTTTCTTTTCAGTTCTTCCAAAAAGCGCTTTTTTGCTACAAATGGAACTGTTATTCAGTTTGCATCGTGGTTTAACGAAAGTTCTTCTAATGCGTTCTTTATGGAACACTATTGCTGGTTTCGAATACATACAATTATTTTTCGACATTTCTCTAAGATATTTGTACATCATTCTTAAATTTTTATATTATATCGAATGAAGACTTACAAACAAAACCATAATTTTTCTCTTCATAATTCATTAAGATAGTAAACAGTTATAGATGCTCCTGAGAGCAGTAAAGTAGAAAGCCGCTAAAAGGTCTTATCTTAGCTGCCAAGTTCATACGTTTGTTTTTTAAAGAAAAAAATGAAATAGTAAATGAACGAAAACTATTATAAACATTTTTTTGATATTTAGCCCATCATACAGACAAGTAATTTCACAAATAAATGGAACATCTAGATATACAAGCCATCCAGTATATCACATTATGGATGTTATTCTAAATGTCATAATGAACATATCCCGTTATGAATGTAATGTTAACACTGTTGCTTGTGTTACATGTGTGAACATGAAATGACAACTGCATTGACATGAAATGTACTTGAGGAAGCGATAATCCATATCGCGATAAGTAGTACGTGTAGAAAAATAAATTTAATGAATCCAAACGTTTTCAAGTGACGTTTCTGATTTAATCTATCCAATAATATACCGAATGATACACATAATCGTCACTAAGGAGAGAGAAAGTATGCGCTGTTTTAGCACCACTAGCTTCGGTATCAAGAACCCCGAGATCATGGATTCTGACTGCACAAGGTGTTAGAGATTGTAATTTTCTACAAGAAGAAAGAAGATTTATCCGCTTTTACAATATGTTTTTTAAAGAAAAATTGGGATTTTTCCCAGCCGCATTACCATACTCTCTCATTATTACGTGGTAGGCGAATAAAAGAGGAAATGCATAAGAGAGGCGTTTGGTTTGAAAATTATCATATTCCATTTGCGAAATGTTTACAAAGAAAACAAAATTCTTCTCGTATTTATGAGTGCTTTGATATGAAAAGAATCTGATTTCGCATTTAGATGGATACAAACTGATTTTGAACTATACTCTTTACTAGGTTAAAAGAGACTCTCTACTAGGGAAAAGTTTAATAGGATTGTGAGCTCTTCAAATTAACGTTTCCAAACAAACAAACAAATAAGGGAGTTTCAAATAGAAAGTCAGGACTTTTGTTTCTGAAGTATTGGAAACAAAGATGAAACGCAAGTAACAATAACAATACTTTATTGTACCAACCTTTACAGTTCACCCTATATCAGGGAGAGAATACCACGACCAAAGTACAATAACCACAACATCAGAAAATTTCCCGAAGCGCAGCATAGGTCAAAGATTTACCAGTGAAAATACCAGGGCAAAGTCCAAATCACTATAACATAGAAAAAAATATTATACGCACTTCACGTTCACTACACGACTCAGGATTCGACTGACCCGCCATGGCACTCGCTTACTCTAAAATGCAAGTAGTGGCATGGTGGCCAGACTAGTTCATGTGACTCGTCCCGTCTCCTAATGGACTGACCCACACACTCGCGCGGACATACAGCGCGCGGCCCTTTTAAATATTCCACACAAACATACACCCCCTCTCTCACATGTGTCGAATAGGCAACAATTGCACTGATCGGTTCCATTCCCTCAAGCAAACTGAGTGAAGAGAAGGGTGCGGCCATTTTAAATATTCCACACATACATACGTCCCCCTCTCTCACATGTGTCGAAGAGGCAACAATTGCACTGATCGGCTCCATCCCCTCAAGCAAACAGAGTGAAGAGAAGGGTGCGGCCCTTTTTAAAAATTCCACACATACATACACCCCCTCTCTCACATGTGTCGAATAGGCAACAATTGCACTGATCGGCTTCATCCCTTCAACCAAACCGAATAAACAGAAGGGTGCGGCTCTTTTGAAAAATTCCACACATTCATACACCCCCTCTCTCTTATGTGTCGAATAGGCAACAATTGCACTGATCCGCTCCATCCCTTCAAGCTAACCGGAAGGAGGGGAGGGTGCGGCACTTTTTAAAAATTCCACACATGCATACACCCCCTCTCTCACATGTGTCGAATAGGCAACAATTGCATTGATCCGCTCCATCCCCTCAAGCAAACCGAATGAAGAGGAGGGTGCGGCTGTTTTTAAAAATTCCACACATACATACACCCCCTCTCTGACATGTGTCGAATACGCAACAATTGCACTGATCGGCTCCATCCCCTCAAGCAAACAGATTGAAGAGAAGGGTGCGGCTCTTTTTAAAAATTCCACACATTCATACACCCCCTCTCTCACATGTGTCGAATAGGCAACAATTGCACTGATTGGCTCTATCCCCTCAAGCAAACCGAATGAAGAGAAGGGTGCGGCCCTTTTTAAAAATTCCACACATACATACACCCCCTCTCTTAAATGCGTCGAATAGGCCGCGAATGCACTGATCGGCACCAACCCCTCAAGCAAACAGAGTGAAGAGAAGAGTGCGGCCTTTTTTAAAAATTGCACACATACATACAGCCCCTCTCTCACATGTGTCGATTAGGCAAAAATTGCACTGATTGGCTCCATCCCTTCAAGCAAACCGAATGAAGAGAAGGGTGCGGCTATTTTTAAAAATTCCACTTATACATAACACCCCCTCTCTTAAATGCGTCGAATAGGCCGCAAATGCACTGATCGGCGCCAACCCCTTACGCAAAGCGAGTTTTCCCTGCGCGTGCATGGGACAGCTCTTATCAATGGGCGTCTCAGCTGATACCCTGCTCCAACTGGACT